AAGGAAACACCATGTCCCAAAAAGTTCAAATTTTACTATTTAAATTGACAATGAGAGGAGAGAAATGTTGGCGAGCAGATAAGGAGCTGTGACTTCTCTAAAACTGCACAGTCCACTCTGTGCCAGAAAATAGAAAAGCGTAATCTGAAGGAGAAAGAATACTCAGCACATAAGTAGGTATCAGGGTTCAAAACCAGGAAAAATACAGTATTTTCAGTGCCTTTTTGCTCATCAGCTATGTAGGTCAAGAATCTGCCTCTCTCTTAGGCAACTCAGACTTGTCACCGTGTACTGACACCAGAGGGTAGCCGCAGGGCTGACAGATTGAATAATTAGAGGTTTCTTAGCTGAGAACTGACCTTTAAATGAAGGAACTTGAGCAATATGAATTTCACTAAGCTCTCTCTCAAAAAAGTTCCATTCCATTTCTAGTACTCTTACAGAGTAAATTATTCAATAGTCACATAGACCTGTTTGGGTTGATAATAACTGCTCTGTCTCTTAAACTCTTTATGGAATATGTATTAGATAAATATTCAATATAAGAATTGGATACAGTTCTATTTCTAGGACAAATAGTATAGGCGCACTCCTTCCAGGTCTGGAAAACTTTCCATCTCATTTGCATTGCATTCCTCCTGTCAAAGGATAACCAGTGACGGTAACCAGTGACTTTCTCATCAAGGCTAATGATCTTTTCTCTGAGGATTGGGGAAAAAGAAAAAACACTGAACTTGTTGAATTAGCAATGTAACTATATTCCTTGAAAACGTTTGTTTTAATGTCCTAGCATTTGTGACAGCTAGACAGCTGGCAGTGAAGGAGAATGTGTGGTAAAGAACTGGAAATGGCAGATAGACCTTTATTTGAGATGTGTGGCTATAAAAGAAAAAAGAGAAATAGACTAGCAGCCAGTGGAGAAAGCAGGGTCAAATTACAGTTATATAAAATGTAAGGGCTGGGCATGCTTATTTTATTTTAACTTTAAAAAAAGAATTTTCAAACAGAA